ATCAGGCTTCAAAATTGGTACGACAGTGCTGCCCATTCCACAAATTGCATTGGTTTGATGATTCCTTCGCTTCCCATCTGTATTTTTGCCTGTAAGGCAAATGGCACTAGGTATGTCTTGCAGATTTTTGGGATTGCTTCTGGGTCAACATGCAAAGTCACTTTGGCTAATTCAATTGTCCTGAGACCTTCCTGGAAGACTTCCAGGTATGTAACGAGGACTCCGCTCAGTCAGCCATTTTCTAATTGAAAAATGTTGAGCCAATCTAGGTGAATTGGGGCTGACTGAGTGAAGTCCTGATTACATACCCAGAAATCTTCCAGCTAAATTTCCCATAGTGTCCAGGGATGTGTAGGTTGGGTGAAATAGTCATGGGATTTGCAGGGTTACAGGGATAAGGTAGGGGGGTGTCTGGGTGGGATGCCCTTCAGAGGGTCTGTGTGGACTCGATTTGCCGAATGAGCTGCTTCCACACTGTCGGGATTCAATGAGGCTGATTCAGTCTGGCTTGCTGTCCCTCTGTCTTAACAGTTGTCTGGAAAATGTGCTAGCTTCCCTGTGTATTATGGCTTTAAGTTTAACGAAGTGGTAATTATTATTGAGGATATTGATGAATTTTTCTAATTTTGCTCCTGCGTGTCCAGATGCCCCACACATCAGCATTAAGTACGAAACGTAATATCATCACGAGTGCATCGCCTAATAAATACACTGATGTGAATGAAAAAGGAGCCCTTGAGAACCAAAAAAAAAGTACCTACCAAAACCAGAAATCTCAAGAGGAGCCTTTGAGAAGATATTCTTTGACCTCTGCCTGAAAGCCTCTTGGCACACTTGTCACAAAATACATTCCCACCTGGTTTTTGTCATCTGCAAACTTAGAAATATTACATTTGTTGGCCAAATCCAAATCCAAATCATTGATATAGATTGTGAACAGCTGGAGCACAAGTACTGGACTTTACCATACCTCATTAGTCACAGCCTACCAACCTGAGAATAACCCATTCCTCCTCTTTCTGTTAACCAGTTTATTATGCTGGTATTTAGAATATCCTTTATTGTCCCACTATTCCGTGTTCTCTAATGTTGTTTTCTAACATGCTGTGGGACATTTATAGGAAACCTTCAGAAAATCCAAATACAGTATATCCACTGATTCTTTCTTATCTACTTGTAACATTCTCAGAAAACTCCAGCAAGTTTGCCAAACATGACTTCACCATCATTGAATCCTTACAGTGTGGAATAGACCCTTCGGCCCATCATGCCCACACTGACCCTCCGCAGAGCATCCCACCCAGACTCACCCCTTTATCCTGTCCCTGTAATCCTGCATTTCCCATAGCTAATCCACTTACCCTACTCATCCCTGGACACTATGGGCAATTTAGCCTGGCCGTTCCACCTAACTTGCACATCTTTGGACTGTGGCAGGAAACTGGAGCACTTGGAGGAAACCCACACAGACACAGAGAGAATGTACAAACTCCACACAGACAGTTGCCCGAGGCTGGAATCAAACCTGGGTCATTGGCATTGTAAGGCTGCAGTGCTAACCACCGAGCCACTGTGCTACCCTGTGGAGTTAGATCCTTCTTTTCTGAGAGTCCAGCTATTATACCCTTAATAATAGAGTCTAGAACTTGCCCTGTTTCTGATGCCAAGTTTACAAGTCAGTAGAACTCCATTTTTCCTCTTTTCCCTCATTTCATAAATAGTGGGATTACATTTTCCTACCTCCCAATCTGCAGACCGTATTTCAGAATCTACAGATTTTTTGAAGATTGCCATCAATCCACCCATTGTCTCCATAGCTATTTCTTTGAGTACTCTGGGATATAGATCATCAGGGCCTTGTACTTTGTAAACTTTCAACACAATCAATTTGTCCAGTACTGTTTTATATAAATACTAATTTCGTCCAGATCATCATTCTCACTAGTCCCTTGGATCCCTCTTACTTTGCTAAAATTTCTTCTATCTTCCTCTATTTTATGTTTTTTGATAGTTAGCACTCATATGCAGTATTCCCTTTCTTCAGCAGTTTCTTGGTCTTCCTTTGAATTCTGAAATGTTCCAAATCCTCCAGATGAATAATTCTTTGGAAACTTTACAAGACTCTTCCTTTGACACAAACCATCTTTAACGTCCTTTGTTAGCTACAGTTGTTAGCTTTTCTTGCTGAATTTTTATGTTTTAAAGGAATGTATGTTTGCTATAAACCACGCGTTAATTCTTTAAGCAGTGGCCATTGTGTTTTTATCATGACATCTTTTAATGTATTTTCTTAATTCACCCATGCCAACCTGCACTTCATAGCTTCATAGCTCTTCTTTGTTTAGATTTCTGATTCTGGTTTTGGAATGCTCTTCATATTTTCCAAGCTTAATTGAGAATGCCAACATATTATGGTCACTCATTCCTAAAAGTACTTTTACAACAAGCTTTATTATTAATGAAGCATTAATAGTTATTATTAATTAACCTTTTCTCATTGTGTGGTACTAAAATAGCCTGTTCCTTTGTTGGCTCCTAAAAGCACTGCTCCTGATAACCATGTTATACACATTCGGAAACTCGTTCTGTCACAGCATTAGTGATCATTAGAATTACCCCGTTTATGTAGTTTGAACTCACCTGTGGTTACTGCTTTATCCATGTTGCATTCAACTCTGATTTTCTGCATTACCACTATTGTTTGTTGGACTCTGAAACATCTCCTGTTCATGTTTACAGAATCACAGGGTTGTTGTAGTGCAGAAGGAGGCTATTCAGCCAATTGTGCCTGACTGTCTCTTCAAACAAACATCATTACCTAATGTCAATCCCCTAACGTTGCCCGCCCCCAGACTTTTGAATACCATTTCTATTCAAATAATCGTCTGATTGCTGTCTTGAATGCCTCAACTGAACCTACCTCCACCTCAATTCTAGTGAGGCAGTGCATTCCATGCCCTAACTACTCACTGCGTGAAAAAGTTTTTTTTTCTGACATCACCCTTCGTTTGCACATCACTTTAAATCAATGCCCTCTCGTTTTTGTTCTTTTTAATGAGGAGGAACAGCTTCTCCCTATCTCATGTATCCACCCCACTCATGATTTTGAAAGCCTCTATCAAATCTTCTCTCATCCTTCCATTCTCCAAGGAGCACAGTCCCAGCTTCTTCAAACTATCCTCATCACTGATGTTTTGCGTTCCTGGAACCATTCTTGTAAATCGCTTCAACATTCTCTTCAACGTGTTTACATTTTTTCCTATAATGTGGCAACCACAACTACACAATACTCCAGCTGAGGTCTAACAGGTTTCTTGCATAAGTGTTTGACATTATTTGCTGCCTTTGCTGTTTCTTACCTCACCTAAACAATTTCTACGATTTGTTCTTCTGTTTTAACATCCTATCTCACTAGTGTTCCCATCCCTTTATTAACAGTATTACACCAACTCTTTTCCTTTTTGCCTGACCCTCCTAAATCACCATTATTGCTGTTTCTTCAGTGTGGCTGGGTCAAAGTCCTGGAATTCCCTCCCCCACCAGTATTGTACATCCACCGAATCAAGAAGACAGCGATTCAAGAAGACAGCTCAGTACTACCTTCTTAAGGCCTACTAGGCAATAAATGGCCCACGAATGAACAAACAAATGTCAAATATCTTTGAATATTCAAATCCCAACCTTGTTTGCTCTTCAGTCACATTTTTGTTACGACAGCAAAAACATTCCCGTTGACTGAAATTTGTGCAGTTTGTCAGCTATCTTGTTGCAATGCTGTATGCATTCAGATAGTTTCTTTAGCTGTGCATTTTTAACATTATTCCACCTTTTGACTAATTAATGTTAGCATTTGTTTCTGCTTCCTTCCACTTTTGTTCACGACATTTTCTACTTCCTTGACCATCTTTGCTTCTTTTCCTATATGCGTTTCATCCCAGGTTACTATCCCCTTGACAAGCTAGTTTAAATCCTCTGAACAGCATGAGCAAATCTACTTGTGATGATATTAGTCTCAATTCTGCTAAGCTGTAATAAGACGTATACTCGTTGTACAGGTTCAAATTGCCCCAGAAATCTAAAGCCCTCTCACCTGCACCATTTCTCCATCCACACTCAATCATATTATTTCTGTACTCGCTCACATGTTTGCCTATATTATCTTTCTATCTCTCTCTTTCTCTCTTTTTCATTTATGATGTGGAGGCTGGACTGGGGTGGACAACGTCAGAAGTCACATGGCACCAGGTTATAGTCCAATAGGTTTATTTGAAATTCAAAGCTTTCAGAGCATTGCTCCTTCACCAGGTATAGCATTTCTGATCTCTTCATTTAGTCATAGAGCTGTACAGCACAGAAATAGACCCTTCAGAACAGCTTGTCCACACTGACCAGATATCCTAAATAAATCTAGTCCCGTTTGCCAACATTTGCCCCATATCCCTCTAAACCCTTCCTATTCATGTACCCATCCAGATGCCTTTTAAATGTTGTCATTGTAACAGCTTCTGCCACTTCCTCTGGCAACTCATTCCATACACACACCACCCTCTGTGTGAAAAAGTTGCCCCTCAGGTCCATTTTAAATCTTTCCCCTCTCACCTTAAACCTACACCCCGTAGTTAAGACCCCAGCTATTCACCCTATCCCGTCCATGCCCCTCGTGATTTTATAAATATCCATAAGGTCACCCCTTAGCCTCTGACGCTCCAGGGAAAATAGCGCCAGCCTCTTCAGCATCTCCCTATAACTCAAACCTTCCAACCCTGGCAACATCTTTTCTGTACCTTTTCAAGTTTAACAACATCTTTGCTAGAGCAGGGAGACTAGAACTGAACACAGAATTCCTTTTGTGAGCTCTCTCACTCCATCCTGTGCCCCTTTAACCAAAGTTGCATTCTCGTGTTATTTTTCTCCCCAGCAGAGTTATTATGACAAATGAAAGTTGGTCTTAATAATGGCACCTTTGACCTAAAATGTTTTTTTTTTTTGCTTGTTTCCAGCGGACCTGTTAGAGAGGAGCCCACCAACTATGATCTCGTTGGCTGGAGGAATGCCAAACGCCAACCTGTTCCCCTTTGAAACTGCCAGCTTCATCATCAAGGACGGTCAGAAAATAAACTTCAGCCAGGAAACAATGAAGCGGGCGCTGCAGTACTCCAGCTCAGCAGGGTAGTGTGAATCTATGCTTAACACTGACAGCAACCAAATTACTCTGGCTCCAATGCCACAGGGATCAGTGCTGGGACCACAATTATTTACAATATGCAATTGGATGAAGAAAGTGAATGTACTTTTGCCAAGTTTGCACATGACACAAAAATAAGAATATGCACAGGCTACAGGCTGATTAAGTGAGTGGTAGGTGCAATATAATGTCAAAAAATGTGAGGCTAAGCACTTTGGCAGGAAGAGCAGAGAGACTGAATCTTGTGTAAATGGAGAAAGACTGCAGAAAACTATGGAACTGAGTGATTGGGAGTCCTCATCCATGAATCTCAAAAAGCTACCATCAAATTTCAGCGTAGTAGGGAAGGCAAATGGAATACAGTATAAAAATAAGGAAGTCTTGCTGCTACTATATAAGTCACTAATCAGATCACAGTTGGAATGCTGTGAATAGTTTGAGCCTCTTATCTAAGGAAGGATATACTACAATTGCAGGCAGTCCAGAAAAGATTCTTCAGGCTGATATAAGGTCTGGACAGACTATGTTATGAGGAGAGGTTGAGTAGGATGGGGTTCGACTTACTACAGTTCAGAAGACGGAGAGATGACCTTATTGAAATATACAAAGCTCTTATAGGATTTGACAGAGTAGATGTGGAAAGCTTGTTTCCTCTTGTGGAACAGTCTAGGACCACAGGACATAATCTCAGAACAAGGAGCCACACATCTAAGATACAGTTGAGGAGGAATTTCTTCTGTCAGAGGGTCGAAAATCTGTGAAATTCTTTTCTGCAGGTGGCTGTTGAGGATGGGACATTAAGTATATTCACAGTTGAGACAGATTTTTACTCAAAAAGGAAACCAAGAGTTATAGGGAAAAGACAAGGAAGTTGCTTTAACCAGCCATGATCAAATGATAAATGGTAGAGAAGACTGGATGGGCTGAATGGCCTGTTTTTGCTCTAGTCTTCCAGTCTTATGTGTCCAGAGGCTTAGAGTTCATGTGTAGATTATATGTTTTTAAAAAGCCAGTACCGATTAAAGTGACCAAAAAAACTGTTGAATTGGCCCTTAAAATCTGGAGCATTGATGGCATTGTTTGAACTGTGACTGCCCCTTCAGTCCTGATGAAGGGTTTTGACCTGAAACGTTGACTTTCCTGCTCCTCGGATGCTGTCTAGCCGGCTATGCATTTCCAGCTCCACATTTATTGACTTTAGCATCTGCAGTCCTTACTGTCTCTACTGCCCCTTCCACAATTGTTCGAGTACCTCGGTGGTCTAGACAGGTCAGCATTGGGAATTGTGGAAAAGACAACTCCAGTGGTACGCAACAGCATCAGGGCTTTGTTTTCATTGATGGGATGTGGGCATCATTGGCCAGGCCAGCATTTTAAGCCCATCTCTAATTGCCCACAGGCCAGTTAAGAGTCAACTGCATTGCTGTTGACCTGGAGTCACATTTTATGACTAGATGACGATAGCAGATTTCCTTCCCTAAATGGTATTGGTAACCCAGCTGGGTTTTTACAGCAACCAATCCACAGTCATCATTTAATTCAAGTATTTTTTTTGAATTGAATTCAAAGTCCGCCATTTGCGACAAGTGGGATTTGAACCCAGAACTTCAGCCTGGGGTTCTGGATCATAGCCCAGTGACACTGCCATTATGCCACTACTTCCCTGTATATTGGCACAGCAGAGAATGGAAGCACTGGATTAGTTTCTGTGTGCAGTGTGCTGCATTTCAGGTAACATCCTCCAAAGAGATTTCTGAAAATTTTGAAATAGTTCCTAAAAACATGTAATGCATACTTCAGCCCAAAATGGAACCTTGTAATTAAGCGAGCATAATCTCATCAGAGATTCTGAAGACCGGGGGCTCCATCAAATCATTCCTTAGCAACTTATTCAGGTTAGCCAGTTGATGCGGGTACAGAGCATTGAAAGGCAAATTCACTCACGACCAAGTTGTCATCTAAGTACCTTCTGAAAATGTGTCACTTATTATTTGCAGACAAATGATAACCTGGCACTCGAGAATGTCATTCAGTATGAATTGAAGGTGCAAAATCCATGAAAAATAATCCGTGGATGAGTACATTCATTGTGTAGGCCCAAAAGAGGCTGTCATGTTTACTCAAAGGTCCACCAAAAATCAGGAAACTTTGTAGTTGCCATCTTAAAATGGTCATCTGGTGCACCTAAAGGCAAGACAGCCTAGCCTCAACCACAGAGTTCTTGCATTATGGAAAGACTGAAGACTCTACTGCAACTCTAAATGTACAAGAAAAGGGAAGAAAACAGGTGAATGTCTTTCAAAACCAGAACATGTAGAAAATTGGAAATGGAGAATTCAGTAAAGATTTCAATTGCAAAACCTAGGTAATAGAGATCTTCAAGTCAAGGTGAGATCACCAACCCTAGAGCTTAGCGAAAGTCACTATATTTTTACACAACCAAACAACATCTTAACGAGAGAGATAGTAGGAACTGCCGATGCTGGAGAATCTGTGATAACAAGGTGTAGAGCTGGATGAACACAGCAGGCCAGGCAGCATCAGAGGAGCAGGAAAGCTGACGTTTCAGGTCTGGACCCTTCTTCAGAAAACCAACATCTTAACGAGCAGGATCTTCGGAAGATTGTCAAACTTACAGCACAATAATGGGACAGCATTCCTCCAAGAATTCAAAGAGCTTTTTTTTTTGAAGAGGCTTGGTCGACTCAGGCATTGATATCATATCACATTGTTACTAGATGCAAAAATGTAATTGCATATAAACCCCCAGGAATGGAACATACCCATTGCTGCGTACCACTCCCATTAAACTAAATATTACACAAAGGTCTCACATTATCTGTCAGAGAGCCAACTAAATCCTCAGGCTTGTGATAGTTCCCAAGCTGAATGGTTTGTTCTTATCCTGCAGTGGTGTAGACCTAATGTTATTCAATTGGTAATTCAGTGGCTAATACCCTGAGGATGTGGATTCAAATTTCAGCATTGCACCTTGTGCAATTTAAGTTTTGTTTTTAAAAACAAAAAAAAAATTGGAATATAAAGCTCATTTCAGTAATATTGCCATGAAGCTACCAACAATTGTCATAAAAACCCATCTGGTTCTGTCATTTCCTTTTTAGGGAAGGAAATCTGTTGTCCTTACCTGGTCTGGTCTACATGTGACTGCTGACCCACAGCAACATGGTTGACTGTTAACTGCCCTCTAAAATAGCCTTGCAAGCCACTCTGTTCAAAGGCATTTAGGAATGGCCAACAAGTGCTGGCCTTGCCAGTGGCACCCACTTCCCATGAAATAATAAAAGCAGTTCACAGAAGCAGTCCAAAAAATGGAATTCTATCCCATTTCCTTAGTGGATGACAGTTTGGCAAAACCTGCTAACAATGTCCCGCTCGCTAATGGAGTTTGATGTAAATAGTGATTCTCTGATGATTTGGCAAGACTGCAATTCCAAATCAAGGTGGACCCCCCGTAAATCCTTGGGAATTCTGCTGAATTCCAAAGAGATTGTTGAAATGTCTTCACGCTGTTATGATCCCAGCTGATGTTATTGCTGGACAAGTCAGATCCTAGACAAATCTGGCTTGATAAATGTTTTTTACATGTTTTAGGAGGTTGTCTCTCACTGAAACATAAACATGCAGAAAATAGAATAGAATAAACCAAGCTACTTACATTTAACACAATTTTAAGAATTTTGAAACACATGGTAAAATACTATCCAATTAATCTCAATAGCACCCTTTTACAATTCTCACGTACCAGAGAAAGTCCCTTCTCTATTATCTTTATAGATTGACCTCACTACTTCTTTCAATTCCCAGTCTTGAAAGACTGATATCCTCTTCCTTGAGTATTCACAGCTTAGACTTGAGAGCTTAGATTTGCTCAGCTTCAAATAACCCTTTCAGGGTCTTGATCAAATACTTCTTGTTTGGAAATTTCAAACTAAACTCCTTAAATTGAAGTAACTGATCTTTTAACAGTTTTCAACTACCTTCCTTCTTCAGGAGAAACTGTTCTAACGACCTAATTTCCACCAAAACTTCTATAAAATCCACCAAAGGCTTTTGAAACCTGATGTTTCCCTTAAGACAAAGAAAACCTGATCCTTTTAACTTAAACCCTAATGCACTGCACTGTTCTGTTTGTTCCTAAAATATATCCTAATTAGACAAATTCCCAATAGCCCCCAAAACTATCTTTTTCATACTGTTGTTAAATAAAATGGCTCCAGAAACCCTTGAAAGTTAATCATTAAAGCCCTTCAAACTAAATCCCCATGCTGCTGGTTTAAAATTCAAGCTCTAAAATGAATGATGTTAAAGAAAATATAGATGACCCACCTTTCATCACAATGCGTGCAAAATTTCAGGCTTCAGACTGATATCATAGAATCCCTACACTGTGGAAACAGGCCCTCTGGCCCAACAAGTCCACACTGACTCTCAGAGCATCCCAACCAGACCCATCCCCCTATAACCCACCTGATCTACACATCCCTTGACACTATGGGCAATTTAGCATGGCCAATCCACCTAGCCTGCACATCTTTAGACTGTGGGAGGAAACTCACGCAGACACAGGGAGAATGTGCAAACTCTAGACAGACAGTCACCCAAGGGTGCAATTGAACCCGGGTCCCTGGTGCTGTGAGGTAGCAGTGCTAACCACTGAGCTGCCGTGCTGCCCCTAATATGTTATCACTATCATATGTTATCACTATACAGGTGTCTATGTACCAGGCACAACTGAAGTCACAGCAGTTATATTATGGTAATTATGGTTGGTCCAGCAGCAACACCTGACCCTGTGTAACAGCGAAAAGGACCTCTCAGTAAACCCTGTGGGCAGTGGCCATCGACTTTTTTTCTTTCCATCTATGACGCCAATTTTTTTTGTGTCTTTCTGTGTGTGTGTGTGTAGGTGGAGTTTCATTGGGGGTTAGAATTTTAACTGGTGAAATGTCAGCAGTTCATAGATGTTTACTTGTAACCAGAATTTGTTAATGCGTAAGTAGTCATCCTTGTTTATTACCGAAACCTATTCCGTGCTTTCTATCAACCACGGTCTGATAGTCAGGGAAACTGGGCCTTTGTGTACTTTGATAGAATCTTTAATTTTTATGACAATTCCTGGGACAGACTTGGCTTTCAGCGCACTACTCCAGCTTTAAAACATGCGAGAATGAAACATCAGGTCATTAATTACGGAGAAATTTAGATCATGGCTGTGTCTTTTTTATTTTAAACAAGGGTATAAATTTTACTATGCATTTAAATCATTCTGACTTCTGAACTGTTAATACTGTGGTCTTTTAGAGGGGGAGTTCCAAAGTGGTAAACAGCATCACTTGCGTGTTGGTGTGTGTTACAGAATTCCAGAATTAATCTCTTGGATGAAGGATCTGCAAAAGTGTGTTCATAATCCTCCAACCATCGACTACAGTCCTGAGCGAGGACAGATGGAGCTATGTGTCACAAATGGCAGTCAGGAGGGATTAAGTAAGGTGAGACGTTTATTGCACAGGCTGTCTGGAAAGTTACCAACTAAAGAAAGTATTGATGGGTGAGACAGTTTCTAAAACAAGAAAGAAAGAATTTAATGGGTAACGAGCACAAAAAGATGTTCATGGGATGTGGCTCCCCTGGCAGAGACAGCTTTTATTGCCCATCCCCAACTGCCGTGAAGGAGATGGTCCTCGGCCACTTTCTTGAACTTCTGCAGTCATTGGGGAGTTGGGAAAGTGCTGTTAGGAGACGATTTTCTTAACCCAGCAACAATGAGGGAACAGCGATTATAGTTCCAAGTCAGGATGACATGTGACTATTTCAAGGCAATGTCATCTTCTCTGTGCAAATGAAAGATAATTCTCAGATGAAGGGGTCATCCATTTAGAGCAGAGATGAGGAGGAATTTCTTCTCTCAAGAGGTTCATGAACCTGTGGATTTCTTTACCACAGAGGAATGTCAAGGCTGGGTCATTAAGTTTATTCAAGGCTCCAATTTCTCAGATGGTTAATTAGGAGGGATTATCGAGAAAGAGCAGGAGAGTACAGTTGAGAATTATTAGGAACTCATTGAATGGTGCAGCAGACTCGATGGGCTGAAAGGCCTATTTCTGCTCCTGAGTCTTAGAATTTTCATGGTCTTATGATTGTCAGGGAGACTATCCCCAACAGTAGCTACCAATTTGAAATGGAGTAAATGCAGAAAAAAATACAAGAATGTAAGAAATAGGAGGAGGAGTAGATCCTATGCTCTATCCAACCTGCTCTGCCATCTGATATGATCTTACGCTTGAAATCCACTTTGTCTTCCAGTCCCCATTTCCCTGGTTCCCCTGAGAGACCAAAAGAATCTATCAATCCCAGTTTTAAATTTATTCAGGTTTGGAGCATCCACAACCCTCAGAGATTGCAAATCTATGGAAATTGCTATCTTTTGAGTGAAGTTGTTTCTCATTGCCATTCGAAATGTTCAGCCCCTTCTTCTGATACTGTGTCCCCCACCCCCACAACTCAATCTTTTAGATTCCCACCCAGCAGAAACAGTCTCTCGATATATACTCTGGTAAAGGCCCCTCAGAACACTGAAAAAGTGATTTCATTGAACCAAACTCTAGAGAACATAGGGCCAATTTACTGAGCATTGGACCATAGACCAAGCCACCCACTCACCCCCAATCTCAGGGACCAATTTGGTGAGCCCTCACTGCCCTGCCTCCAATACACCATCTTTTCAGTGGTATTATCATTCGACTATTGATCCAGAGGCCGAGGTAATGTTCTGGGGACCCCAGGCTTGAATCCTGTCATAGCAGATGACAGTATTTGACTTTGATAAAATTCTGCAATTAAGAGTGTAACGTTGACCATGAATCCGTGGTCAATTGACATGAAAAGCTCATCATGTTCATTTATCTCCTTCAGGGATGGAAACTGCCATCCTCACCCGGTCTGGCCCACATGTGACTCCAGACCTACAGCAGTGTGGTTCACTCTTTGCTGCCCTTTGGGCAATGAACAATGAGCAATAAATGCTGGCTGAGCCCACATCCCATGAATGAATTTTTAAAAACGTGTCTGGGGAATCTGGAACCCGGTTAATCATTTCAGACGAAGATGAGGAGAAATTTGTTCACGTAGCCAGTTGTGAATCTATGGGATTCTCCACCCTGGTGGTTGTTGTGCCCCATCATTGAGTTCATTTAAGGCTGGGATGGCCAGATCATACAACCATACAGTACAGAAGAGGCCCTTTGGCCCATCAAGTCTGTGCTGCCAAAAAGATACTACTATCCACCCTAATCCCACTTTCTGGTACCAGGCCATAGCCTTGATAGTAATGACCCATTAAGTCCTCATCCAAGTACTTTTTAAAGGCTGTGAGCTTTCCTCAGATGTTTCATTCTCTTCAGGAGGCAGAGTTACGAGGAGCAGATGAGAAAACAATGTTCAGGCCAATGAACAAAGACAAAGGCAGAGCAAGCTAGACATCTGAATAGGATGGGGGTGATCTAAGAGAAGTCAGAAGGACTGCATGGGGGAGATTGCATCGGTGATATAACTGCACAGAGGTTGGTATCTCATCACCAAGTCACTCTTTATTTACATGCGCACAGCACACTGGCTATGGCCCAGCCAGCTCGGAGTCAGTCCCTAAACTAAGGATTCTGAATCCCCTGTTATTATTGGTGAGCCAGGGCTCCCTAATCAAGGATCTGATAGTCAATAAGATCCACCTGGTTCCAATCACTACAATAGGAAAGATGGAGAAGCACCAGTCAAGGGTTAAGTTGCTGTAAATTTCACCACAAACTGCTAGTAAATAATGTTCACTATTAAAGCTAGTGAGGAATGCAGGAGAAAAGTCTTTGTCCAGTTCTCTTTAAGGTGACATGGTGATGTGGTACCCAAGAAGGTGTTTGCTGTCAAATCTCCTCATAGTGATTTCTATTTTTCCCTCACCAGGTATTTGAGATGCTCCTAGCTCCTGGTGACTTCATTCTTCTCGACACACCGACATATTCCGGGACATTAGCAACAGTAAGAAGTGCCTAATATTTGCTTGCAAGGGGGCAATTCAAAGGGGAGACATTGGCCTTGTGGTATTATCACCGGACTATTAATCCAGAGACCTTGGTAATGTCCTGGGGACCTGGGTTTGAATCCTGCCCTGGCAGATGTGGAATTTGACTTCAACAGGGAAAAAAAAATCCCTGGAATTAAAAATTTAATGATAACCATGAATCCATTGTTGATTGTCAGAAAAACCCATCTGGTTCACTAATGTCTTTTAGGGAAGGAAACTGCCATCCTTAGCTGGTCTGGCCTACATGTGACTCCAGACCCACAGCAATGTGGTTGACTCTTAAACTGCCCTCTGGGATGGGCAATAAATGCTGGCCTATCCAGTGACATCCTCATCCAAAAGTTCCTGTCTACACGGGATCGCACCATTGTTGCAGTGCAGGAGGGGACCATTCAGCCCATTGGCTAGGCGCCAGCTCTCCGAATGAGCATCCCACCTCAGTGCATCCTCCTATCTTCTCCCCACCACCCTGCGCATCCTTCCTAATCAACTAGCCATCCAGTTCCTTTCTGAATGTTTTGAGGGATGCTGCCTCCAGCATACTGTCAGATTTTGCATCCCAGGCCTTAAACAATAGTGGAAAAATAGTTTTCCTCGAATCACTTTTTTGGCTTCTTTTGCAAATTGGTTTAAATCTGTGCACTCCCTACTTTGACCGCTTCATGAGTGAGAACATTTTCTCCCTAATTAATCAGTCAGGTAGACATAAAAGATACTCCCACACTATTTAAAGACTGGCAGGGTTATTCTCTTCACTGTTTTGTCTTGGTCAACATGTATCTGACTATCGACATCCCCATAAACATGCCGTTTCTCCAGTCGTTGTCACATTACTCACTGTGAGAGCTCGGTGGAGATCAGTTGATTTCCTTGTTTCCATGCATTATAACAGCCAATCATAAAAGGTAGCATTGAAAATGGGGTTTGCACAGTGGCTCAGTGGTTAGCATTACTGCCTCACAGCACCAGGGACCTGGGCTCGATTCCACTCTTGAGCAACGACCCGTGGGGAGTTTGCACATTTCCTCGTGTCTGCTTCTGTTTCCTTCGAGTGCTCGGGTTTCCTTCCACAGTCCAAAGGTGTATTCAAGGGGCGATGAGACATAGCACTTGGGGCAAATTGAATCAAAGTTTATGGGGAGAAAGCAGGATTAGGCTATTGAGTTGGACGATCAGCCATGATCATGAGGCATGGCGGAGCAGGCTCGAAGGGCTGAATGGCCTACTCCTGCTGCTATTTTCTATGCTTCATTCACCTTCCCACACCTCCGTCTTTTGCTGGCAGGACCAGGCCTTGCGCTGGCCTTGGCCAACACTCATTACATTGGCATTTCCCTGCACGTTCCTATAACCTGGTCAGGTACAAAGAACAAAGAAAATTACAGCACAGGAACAGGCCCTTCGGCCCTCCAAGCCTGCGCCAATCCAGATCCTCTATCTAAACCTGCCGCCTATTTTCCAAGGATCTGTCTCCTTCTGCTCCCTGCCCATTCATGTATCTGTCTAGATACATCTTAAATGACGCTATCGTGCCCGCCTCTACCACTTCCGCTGGCAACACGTTCCAGGCACCCACCACCCTCTGCGTAAAGAACTTTCCACGCGTATCTCCCTTAAACATTTCCCCTCTCACCTTGAATTCGTGACCCCTTAGTAATTGAGTCCCCCACTCTGGGAAAAAGCTTCTTGCTATCCACCCTGTCTATACCTCTCACGATTTTGTAGACCTCAATCAGCTCCCCCCTCAACCTCCGTCTTTCTAATGTAAATAATCCTAATCTACTCAACCTCTCTTCATAGCTAGCGCCCTAGAAGGGCGTAGGTAGAAGAACCCTGGCTGATGGATTTATTCTAACCACCAGCAGCACCCCCTCCCTAACCTAGGAGCCACGGTTGTTGAAAACCACGCTGGCTGAGATCAACAATCTGCATAGCCCCTGGGCTGAGTCTGGGGAACATTCTCACTCAGATCTGCATTAATCAGCGCCGCTACCAGTTGAAGCACGGGGAACAGCTCTTCATTTGACGAAAATGTTCATTTGCTCCCCAGCGCTGGCCAGTAATGACTCTCTACTGCGTTGAGAAAGGTACCAGTCAATAAACAATCCTCTTGTTTCTGTGCAGCTGAGACCTCTGGGCTGCAAGATCCTCAGTATCGCGAGTGACCAACACGGACTTATTCCTGAATCCCTGTCAGACATCCTTTCAAAGTGGGCACCAGAGGAGGCGAAGAATCCGGAGTCCGATATTCCAAGGATTTTGTATACAATTCCAAATGGCGGAAACCCAACTGGAGCCTCCATGACAGCTGACCGGAAGCGGGAGGTGTACCAGGTATGGCACATGCTGAATATTTCTGGATGGTCAGGTAGCTGATCTCTGTCAAGTTAATGTTTTTGAAAGGCCATCTCCAAAAGACACACACGGTCCATCTGTACGTCGTTTTATCATGAGTGACCGAAACGTGCTTTGCAAATGGAGCGATTAAGACATTTTCATGTGTTTGCCTGCTGCCTAGGTCACTGGTGTCAAAGATGTGATACCTCTTATTTAATCACCAAAAATAATTAATTATTCCTTTCTTTCTTTTGGTCAGTTTGAAATGAACCAGTGGTTTTGGGAGAGAAGAGAGATAAGAAAATGTCAAACAACCTCAAATTGCTAGACAAGCAGACTGAGTTTTGGAAGGGGTCTAGTGCTGAAAGTTGCCTAGCAACAGCCTCTGATTGAGTTGGCATGTGTTTTGCCAGAAACCTGGAAGCTGTGGGCAGCTGGAATAAGCTGGTAATGGAGAAAAATCCTCCCTTTTTTTCTCAATGAGCAGAAATGTAGCTCTTGAAGTTGAAGAAATATTTGTGTTCTTTGTTAAATCAACTCTGCAATTGGGGACAAAGAATATTTTGGCAAAGGTTAACACATCCCACGACCTCTTGACACTGGAGCCAGGCCTCTGCCACTTTAACCTAAAGGAGACGGTACATTGATGAGGAATTGCTGCCATTAATAAGAGCAGTGCTGTATTATCCAATTCAAGTATCCATCAGAAGGGGAGTGGAACGTTGCAGGGCTATGGGGCTAGAGAATGGGCAATGGAACTTGCTGAGTACCTCTCCCAGAAAATCAGCATGAATACAGTGGGCTGAATGGCCTTCCACTGAGGTGGAACCATTCTGTGATTCAATATGCTCCATTCCATACAGCCCACAGTGGACTTATGGTGGCATGGTGGCTCAGTGGTCAGCACTACTGCCTCACAGCACCAGGGACCTGAGTTCAGTTCCAGCCCTGGGAAATGTCTGTGTGGAGTTTGTACATTCTCCCTGTGTCTGCCTGGGCATCCTCTGAGTGCTCTGGCTTGCTCCCACAGTCCAAAGATGTACAGTGCACAAGCTAGGTCAGTTAGTCATGAAAAATGCAGGTTACAAGGATAGGGTAGGGTTGGTGTGGACTTGATGGGCCAAATGGCCTGTTTCCACACTGTAGGGATTGTATGATGCCATGAACTCCACTTACGCATCAAGGCAGGCAGTAATTGGAACAGAATGGTGTTATGAAAATCGAAATCAAACCCCACCCCACTCCAATTCTGTGAGCCATACTAAAAGTGTCAATGTCTTATTCAATCACCAGAAATGATCAATTAGTTTCCATTTTGTTCCAAATAACTGTAATAAGCTTTTAAAAAGCTTCTTCAATAAACTTGAAAGAAATCTTTTTTTTATTAAGAACAAATGTATTATTTTAAAAAAGTGGCAAAACAGGTTATTAACTAAGCCACTCAGAATCACAGAGGCTTATAGTACAGAAAAGGGCCCTTCGGCCCATCAAAGCCACAGCTAACTATTAAAAAACAAGCACTAACTATTCGAATCCTATTTTCCTGTATTTGGCACATAACCCTGTCTGCCTTGGTATCATAAGTGCACATCTGAATACTTCACAACTGTTAGGAGGGTTTCTGCCTCAAACACCCTTACAGGCAGTGCAGATTTAAACTATATCCCTTTATTCCCAAACAAACACACATTCGTACAGGACAAGATGACACAGCTCTGCAGAGCAATTTTGAAAGCACAGATAGAGAAAACGTGTTTTGACAGGTGTCCAAACTAAAAGGGTAGAATAGGGCGACTTTTTCACAGTCCCTTCAGTTGCTTGCCAATAAGCAATGGAAGACCCTTAGTGTGGTTTACAAGTCAGATTTTACAATTGAGTTAACAGTTCAGCTTTCAGAGTTTGAGGATCTGAGAGGTAATGATTCCTGGAACTTTGATTCCGATTCTCAGTAAATACTTCAAAAATATTTCTTCAACTTCAAGAGTTACATTTCTACTCAGTGAGAAAAAAGGGGGGATTTTTCCCGATTACCAGCTTATTCCAGCTGCCCACAGCTTCCAGGTTTCTGGCAAAACACACGCCAACTCAATCCAGAGGCTGTTGCTAGGCAACTTTCAGCGCTAAACCCCTTCCAAAACCCAGTCTGCTTGTCTAGCAATTCGAGGTTGTTTGACATTTTCTTATCTCTCTTCTCTCCCAAAGCCACTGGTTCATTTCAAACTGAACAAAAGAAAGAAAGAAATAATTAATTATTTTTGGTGATGAGATAAGAGGTATTGTGAGCTTTGACAAAAGTGGCCTAGGTCGCCAGGAGCTGCTGACCAATCAGAGGCTGGCAGCTTCTGGGTCCTAAAGCCCACTAGTCACAGGCTAGTGTATTTGGCACATAACCCTGTCTGCCTTGGTATCATAAATGCACATCTGAATACATCACAACTTTTTTTTTTTGTTGGGCAACATTTATTGCCCATCCAGAGGGCACTTAAGAGTCAACCACATTGCTGTAGATCTTGAGTCTCATGTAGGCCAGACCAGCTAAGGACAGCAAATGGGTTTTAACCAACTGTTGTTTTAAACAACAATCAACACTGCTTTCGTGGTCTAGCTTTCATTTTATTCCAGATTTTTGATTTGAATTTAAATGTCCCCATCTGCCACGGTGGGATTCAAACAGAAACAGATTCGCCAGAAAGTTAACCTGGGGTTAACTGGCCCAAGATGTTACCACTACACTACCAGCCTCACCCCGTGATGTGTCATGTTGGTCGGAGGCAAAGGCAGGGCTTTCAGAGGTCATCTCTTTGCCTGCCAGCCATGCCTCAGATTGCCCCAGATTCGAGGACCCCCACCTCACCAAACTTGGTGAAATAGCTCCGTGAAGGCTGGTGTCCTGTCACCAAATCACCCTTTATTTACACATGCACAGTATTGGTCCAGCTCCCCTCAGAGCTGGCTCTGAGAATGAGCAGAACCCCTGAGACTCCTGTTTATGTCTGTCAGCCGGAGCTCCCCGATTGGACCAGGTTAACAGCCCCAACCAGGGAACTCATATTCTTTGAGCTCCACCTGGCTGACCTTGTTCCAAATCACTACACTTGGTAGCTGTGGTGCCCCAATCAGTAAAGTAGCTTCTTTTTATTTTCACGTTTGCTGGGCAGGCAGTTGGTTCGGGAGATGTTGGGTGGAAGTCATTAAGCAGCTACTCATTGATCACGTAAGGGCTTTAATGTGAAGGAACAACCCAATGGACCTTCCCCATGGAGTTCATTGTGGCGGTGGCAAGAGGGTTTGGATTTCTCTCCAAACAAACTTGCCAAATTATTTACCCCACTGCCACCTCTAGAGAGGGAAAATTCATCTCAAGGTGTAGTTCCAACCACATACCTGCACCAGCCCATAGACCACCTATTTCTGCCTCCTTACCCATTGGCCAATTCCATCTGGCCAAGGCACCCTTACTGCTGAAACTCTTATTTCGTCATCTCTGGGCTCGCATACTAGACAGTCTCTCAAGTTCTAAAATAAAACAAAACAATTGCAGAAGCTGGAAATCTGAAACAAAGACATAAATTGCTAAAGAAACTCAGCAGGTCTGGCAGCATATATGGAGAAAAAGCAGAGTTAACGTTTCAGGTCCAGTGACCCAGCGTCACACATGGGGAGTAGCTAGGGAAAGGTGGTATATATTGCTGAAGACAGGGTAACAAGCTAAAGGAGTAAATGATAGGTGGTGACAAAGCCCGGAGGGAGAGAAAGACAGTCAGGCAAACAGAAGGGTGGATAGTACTAACCCACCGATGCAAAAATACTCATAATGTGGACCGTATGTTGATGAAAACGGGCTGAGGGCAGTGAAGAAAGCGTTTGGTACACTTGCCTTTATCGGTCGGTGCATTGAGTATAGGAGTTGGGAGGTCATGTTGAAGCCGTACAGGACATTGGTTAGGCCATTTTTGGAATACTGCGTTCAGTCAGGACTCCCTGCTATGGGAATGATGTTGTTAAATTTGAAAGCGTTCACAAAAGATTTACAAGGACATTGCCGGGGCTTGAGGATTTGAGCTATAGGGAGAGACTAAATAGGCTGGGGCTATTTTCCCTGGAGCATGAGGGGTAACCTTATTGAAGTTTATAAAATCATGAGGGACATGGATAGGGTAAATAGTCAAGGTCTTGTCCCCAAGGTATGGGAATCCAAAACTAGAGGGCATGGGTTTAAGGTGAGGGGGGGAAAGATTTAAAAGGGACCCAAGGGGCAACTTTTTCACGCAGAGGGTGGTGTGTGTATGGAATGAGCTGCCAGAGGAGGTGTTGCAGGCTGGTACATTTGCAACATTTAAAAGGCATCTGGATAGTTATATGAATAGGAAGGGTTTAGAGGGATATGGACCAAATGCTGGCAAATGAGACTCAATTAATTTAGGATATCTGGTTGACATGGATGAGTTGGACAGAAGAGTCTGTTTCCATTGCTGTACCTCTCTATGACGCGATGACTGTGCTGAAAGTTCTGTCTCCAGTTTCTGTTTTTACGTCAAATTCTAAACTTGGACATCATCTGAAACTCTGCCCGCATCTAAATCACACTGTGTTCACCTTTCACCACCATGTTCACTCACCTGCGTAGGATCTATGTAAAGCAGTATGTTGGCTTTTTCAAAGAATTCTCAGCCTTATTTCTGGATCACTCCACCCTTCCTGTCTCTGTATTCTGGCCCAGACTTACAATCCCCTGAGATATCTGCATTCTCCTAATTCTGGCCTTATTGAAGAGACCAAATTTTAAAAGCTGGATCATTTGGTAGTTTCGCCTTCAGCTATGTAGACACTAAGATGTTGAAATCCACTCCGATATTTTTGCATCTCTCTACATCTCTTTCGTCCTTTAAAACCCTCATTAAAAGTCTACTTTTTTGACCAACATGTTGTGCCCTTGTGTGGCTCAGTGTCAAAATTTGCTCAATAATGTTGCTGTGAAGCATCTTGGATTATTTCAG